CCTGCTTTGTAGATAAAAGAGAGAGAAGACATACTCACCGGTTCCTAAGCAAAGGCTGAGCCAGGTTGGAGGTGGAGACCCATGTTTTGTCACAACTAAACTCATGCTTGACCTCTGCGGTGGTGGCACACTGCCTGGCCCTTGAGCCACATGCCAAGGCCACAGGCCTCTCCAATCAGACATACAGGTCTCCATCCTGCTTTGCCCGGTTGCCATCTCAACATGGAAGGCTTCTCCCCGACTCAGCTCCAGTCTTAATTTCTGCAGCTGGACCCGTCTGCACAGAAAACCAAGGCGCTCTCAGCCCTGCCAATTTGCTCCCCTTCCAACACAGGTCCCCTGGGTGCTGTATATTTTAACGCACAGACTTCGCAGCCGCCGCTCACACTGCATTTCCTTGTTGGTGGTTTGTTGCCTCTTGGATTTTCCATTCCTGAGTGCCCATTCACGCTCTGGAACAGGCGCCCACACTGCTGGCTGCCCTGGAGGTGCCGTCCCTCCTTTCCAGGAAAGCAATGCCAGAGACCCCGGCCTCTGCAATCCCAGTAGCCGGCAGCAGCACCTCTGCCGGTCTCCTTAGCTACGACGAACGCCTGAGAGCTTGGTGGCTTTCCCCTGCCAGGCAGAGAGAGGCTGGCCACAGCCCGGAGATCAAGTGAGTCTCAAAACATTAGAAAAAGCCAAGCCAGTCTGCAGAGCGCCACAGCCGCCTCGGGGCCAGATACCATAGCAACCCTTGGCTTCCCAGCCCAGCCCATGTCTGCCCAGCAAAACTCTGCTGATTCGAAAGACTTTGCTTGCTCAGCTCCTGGCACTGCAGACTGGACCTGCTGCTCCCCGACTCGGGGGGTTTCCACCTACAGTCCACCCTTCCTGGCAAAGCCTTGGGAATATTTAATTTAGCAAGGTCTTTCTAAGAGGCCCTGAACATCACGTAGGCTTCGCCGCTCGCTGCACATTTGGCCCCCATATTTACTTTAGCCGCTGTTCAGGCTGGGCTTGTCAGCCTGATCGCTCTCTCTGCAAGGCCCAAGCCTATGAGGGGCGAGAAGACTGAAGGGCTGAGTCCTCGCTGCTGAGGGGCAGTGGAGGCGGGGCGGGGCGGTGCGGGCAGGGGTTTGTTTCCGTTTTTTTTTTCTTTTAGATGGTATCTCACTATGTTGACCAGGCTGATCTCAAACTCTTGGCCTCAAGTGATCCTCCTGCCTCAGCCTTCCAAGGTGCTGGGATTACAGGCATGAGTCATTTTAAAAAAAAACTTGAACTCTTCCGGGAGCAAAGCCCTTTTTCCTTCTAATGCACTCCCAAAGACAGTCGAGAAACAACGAAACATCCCCTCTTTACTTACATATGGACCAAGACAGAAAAATTAAACTCCTTGAGCTTCAAGTCAGTGACAAAAACTAAAAATTGGTCAGACGCAGTGGCTCACACCTATAATCCCAACACTTTGGGAGGCAGAGGCGGGTGAATCATGAGGTCAGGAGTTCGAAATCAGCCTGGCCAACATAGTGAAACCCCTTCCTGACTAAAAATACAAAAAATTGGCCAGGTGTGGTGGCAGATGCCTGTAATCTCAGCTACTCAGGAGGCTGAGGTAGGAGAATCACTTGAACCCAGGAGGAGGTTGCAGTGAGCCGAGATTGAGCCATTGCATTCCAGCCCAGGGGACAGAGTGAGACTTCATCTCAAAAAAAAAGAAAAGAGCCGGGCGCGGTGGCTCATGCCTATAATCCTAGCACTTTGGGAGGCCGAGGCGGGTGAATCACGAGGTCAAGAGATCGAGACCATCCTGGTCAACAAGGTGAAACCTCGTCTCTACTAAAAAATACAAAAATTAGCTGGGCATGATGGTGCGTGCCTGTAGTCCCAGCTACTCGGGAGGCTGAGGCAGGAGAATTGCTTGAACCCAGGAGGTGGAGGTTGCGGTGAGCCGAGATCGTGCCATTGCACTCCAGTCTGGGCAACAACAGCGAAACTCCGTCTCAAAAAAAAAAAAAAAAAAAAGAAAGAAAAGAAAAGAAACACCCCCCTGCCCCAAATTAGGTAAAAGTGATGCAACAATTCAATAAAGGTAAACATTTTAAAAAAATAAACTCCCACTGCACTCAATACTTAAATGGTTAAAAACAACAACAAAACAGGCCAGGTGCAGTGGCTAACGCCTGTAATCCCAGCACTTTGGGAGGCCAAAGCGGGTAGATCACCTGAGGTCAGGAGTTCCAGACCAGCCTGGCCAACATGGTGAAATCCCAGCTCTACAAAAAACCACAAAAATTAGCCAGGCATTGTGGTGGGCGCCTGTAATCTCGGCTACTTGGGAGGCTGAGGCAAGAGAATCACCTGAACCCAGGAGGTGGAGGCTACAGTGAGCCGAGATTGTGCCACTGCACTCCAGCCTGGGCAACAGAGGGGAGACTCCGTCTCAAAAAGAAAAGCAAAACACACATACACATCACAAGCATTTGCTGGAGTCTCCAGACTTCAGTAATCTCCTTCCAACATTTTTTTCCCTTCCAGTGTTTTTTTGCTATGATTTCTTCTAGGCACTTAAGCGATTTCCTGGAATAAAATGAACTATCTACATAAAAATTACACAACAATTAAATTCATGTTCTCAAAAATATTTAATGATACAGAAGTTCATCAGTTAACTGAAAAGAGCCGGACAGAAACTATACATGTTTTGTAAAATACACATGCATACACACGCATACACACACACAAACACACAGAATATCCCCAGCAGACACAATTCATAGTGTCAGTGATTACACATGATGTGGTGGAGGATTGGAGGATCATTTTCTACATATGTAAGCTGCTTATAAAATTTTAAAAGTAGGCCAGGCGCACTGGCTCATGCCTGTAATCCCAGCACTTTGGGAGGCCAAGGCAGGTAGATCGCCTGAGGTTGGGAGTTTGAGACCAGCCTGACCAACATGGAGAAACCCCATCTCTACTAAAAATACAAAATTAGCCAGGCATGGTGGCACATGCCTGTAATCCCAACTACTTGGGAGGCTGAGGCAGGAGAATCGCTTGAACCTGGGAGACGGAGGCCACCTTTCACTTTTTAAGTTGCCTATTTCGACATTTTCTTAAAATAAGCATGTATTGGCCAGGCATGGTGGCTCACACCTGTAATCCCATCACTTTGGGAGGCCAAGGTGGGCAAATCATGAGGTCAGGAGTTCGAGATCAGCCTGGCCAACATAGTGAAACCCCGTCCCTACTATAAATACAAAAAAAATAGCCAGGTGTGGTGGCAGATGCCTGTAATCCCAGCTACTTGGGATACTTTGGAAATAACATACAAAAATTACTAAGAAGGCCAGGTGCAGTGGCTTATGCCTGTAATCTCAGCACTTTGGGAGGCTAAGCGGGCAGATCCCCTGAGGTCAGGAGTTCGAGACCAGCCTGACCAATAAGGTGAAAACCCATCTCTGCAAAAAATACAAAAATTAACCAGGTGTAGTGGCATGCACCTGCAATCCCAGCTACTTGGGAGGCTGAGGCAGGAGAATCGCTTGAACCAGGAGGCAGAGGTCGCAGTGATCTGAGATCTCACCACTGCACTCCAGCCTTGGTGACAAAGCAAGATTCCATCTCAAAAAACAAAAAAGAAAACACTACGTTTTTGTGAAAAACAGCTCCAATGCAGAACTCCTTACTAACCAATCCGACCCATAATGGACCGTGGAATAACGAAGTCCAATCTTGTCCTTCCTCTGAATGCCCTTAAAGCCACTAACACTAACTGGGCGCAGTGGCTCACTCCTGTAATCCCAACACTTTGGGAGGCCGAAGTGGGTAGATCACCTGAGGTCAGGAGTTCAAAGTCAGCCTGGCCAGCACAGTGAAATCCCGTCTACTAAAAATACAAAATTAGCTGGGTGTGGTGGCGCATGCCTGTAATCTCAGCTACTCAGGAGGCTGAGGCAGGAGAGTCACTTGAACCCAGGAGGTAGAGGTTGCAGTGAGCCGAGATCACACCACTGTACTCCAGCCTGGGCAACAAGAGCCAAACTCCGTCTCAAAAAAGAAAGAAGAGAAGAGAAGAGGAGAAGAGAGAAGCGAAGCCACTGCCATTAATAATGGAATGAGCCGGGCGCGGTGGCTCAAGCCTGTAATCCCAGCACTTTGGGAGGCCGAGGCGGGTGGATCACGAGGTCAAGAGATCGAGACCGTCCTGGTCAACATGGTGAAACCCCGTCTCTACTAAAAATACAAAAAATCAGCTGGGCATGGTGGTGCGTGCCTGTAATCCCAGCGACTCAGGAGGCTGAGGCAGGAGAATTGCCTGAACCCAGGAGGCGGAGGTTGCGGTGAGCCGAGATCGCGCCATTGCACTCCAACCCGGGAAAAATGAAAAAAACCCTCGTTACCCAAAAAAAAAAAAAAAAAAAAAAAAAAATAATGGAATGAACAGTCATCCCCACGGAATGAGGCTGCTCCAGGTCTGACCGGCATAAGCTAGAGCTGACCGCCGCCCCGTCTCCCGGCTCTGCGAACCTCCTTCTCTAAGCCCCTACAGCTTCCGGGGTCAACTCCAGCCCCAGCACGGCCACCTGACCAACAGCTGACAGCTCCCTCTAGGGGCAACGTTTTTTTTCTTTACTGACAGGGACTGAAGAAAAAGACTTGACCTTCATACAGGCCAGCATTTGAAGGCTAAAGGCAAATCTACATTTAATGCAAATGAAATTATGGGGCCCCAGTTTCATTCTTCCAGAGCCTTGCTGGGAATGACCTGCATGAGCATCTCTGCGAAGATACAGGGAATTGGACAAAGGCAAAAAGCTGATGGTGGAGGACTGTCTTAAAATTCCTTACAAGGCCGACAGAGTAAAACATGATGTGACCGAGCTAGATTTCACTGCAAATAAGAAGCAACTAAGAAGCCAGAACCCTGGTCTCACAGTAGCAAGGCTTCCTGTGCTTATTTTAAGCCTTGTGCTGTTGGGTCTAAGAGATGCTGAGGGGCCGCCATAAAATACTAAAGACAATACTAACCAAGTTTAATTGAATAGAAGTGTTAAAACCCACACATCCTAGTAACACTCTTACGAGGTGATGGTGCTGGAAAGATGCAACTCTGACAAAGTGGCGGTCACAATACAAGTCTGAACCTCAGCCCCAGTAAGCATCCTGCTGCCTGCAACACAACAATGTTGCGACCTGGTCCCATCACATGTTTACGCAAACCACTTCCAACCTAGAGGACAGAGGGCCGGAAGCTCCACAAAGAACATGAAGAATGCCCATCTGGTCACCGGCCTCCAGCACCCCCAGAAGAAAGCTCTCAACGGCAGAGTTCACAGGTGCAGATTCAGGTCCAGCCTGCCACAGCGGCTTTCCCCAGGGCTGGTTTGCCAGTCCTTCTTCCAAACAGCCCAGTCTCCAGCTCTGCCCTGTGGCTGTCTTCAGCCTCAGATCAGAAGTCAATTTGGACAAATCTTTTTAAGAGTCTCCAGAAAAGGTTTTCCAGATTTCAAAGCAATTTCCTCAGCATAAAACCACAGGATTAAAAAAAAGGAAGGGCTCTTGAGTCCAAACTTATCTATTAAACACGTCTAAATTTTTCTTTTCTTTTTTGAGAGATAAGGTCTTACTCTGTTGCTTAAGCTGGAGTGGTTGGTGTACTCCTACGTGGAACTCTGAGGCTCAAGTCATCCTCTGGCCTCAGCCTCCCAAAGTGGTAGGATTACAGGCGTGTGAGTGAGCCACCATGCCTGGCCCTATCTATTAAACCTTGATTGGATGTAATAGGCCAAGTACAACTGCACCAAATGGACTGGGATGAAATGACCACCCCAGGGCTGTGACCATCCACACTGGCTCCAAGGAGGCAGACCACTGGCCCCCAGGCCTGCGCGCGGCAAGCCCTTGTGTCCATGATGCTTGAGACCCTGCAGGTCGACCTTCTTCCTTCCTTCTCGGTACATTGTTATGGCCCCAGTTTCCTTATTTTTATCCTGATTCTAATAACCAGGTCCTTGAAGAACTTTCTGAGGAATCTCTGTTTTAATGGCACATAAACTGTTTCCTGCCAGTTTACTCCCTCTGGAAAGCACACCAGGCAACAAGTATGAGTAGCTCACAGAAGACTAGAGCAAATTCTAGCTCATGCAGCTTTAGAAGAGAAACTTAAGACTACTATACGACATTCACAAATTACACAGAAAACACTGTTGCTAATAAGGACGCCATTCATGGCCATGAAACTCCATCATGCCTCTTGTGGTCAGGCTTGAGACAAGGCTTTCTGGTAGGAAAGTTTCTTCCCTGCGTAGAAACACGAGCGTCACTTCATTTTTCGGTAGAACTTGGGTCTTCGGTATGGTTTCTCTTTATGTGCCTCCTCAGGTTCTCTTGCTCCAATTTTCTCTGATGCTCCAGGAAGTTTAAAATTGTAATCCGTTGTGACATAAGGTACTATCCCTTCGACCCCACGCTGAAATGGAAACACAAAGAGAAGGCATAGGAACACCCCAGGTCCAGCCTAGAGGGGTTTACAGCTCTCTCTCTCACACCCAGAAGATAGTGTCACTGACACAGTCTGAGTAAGGACTTCTCACTTTTTAAAAAAATTTTTTTTTTTTTTTTTTTAAAAGATGGGGTTTCACCATGATGGCCAGGCTGGTCTTGAACTCCTGACCTCAGGTGATCCACCCACCTCGGCTTCCCAAAGTGCTAGGATTAAAGGCATGAGCCACCACCCCCGGCCAGGACTTCTCACTTTTAAGGCATTTGATCCCTTCCTTCAGAGCCCCCTTTAAGCAGCTGGCCTGGTAACAGATGTGCCAGTGCCTCCCTTCTGTCGCATTCCTCAAACACAGCAAACGGCATAAGGCTGAGTGGGGGTGGAGTGTGCACCCCTCTCAAATGAGGGACACCAGAGGATGAGAATGGTAGGAACATCCTGTCCCCAGAGCCCACTCGAAGCCCCTGGGGCTGGCTCTGGGGCACACAGACGCCTTGGCCCGGTCCTGTGATGCGTCTGAAGACTGTCCTTAGGAGGGCAACCCTGGGAGGGCCTCTGCTCACTCCAACGCAACCTACTCCTGTGGTAAAGTCTCCACCACGGGAGTTTGGACCATGAGTGACAGTGATTCATCGTCTCAGGCCTCAGAGGCTGCCCTGACACTGCCTTGCCTCATTCAGGATCTACAACAAAGCAAAGGTTTCCCAGATCACCCATTCCCATGACCCTTGACCCCACTTCAGCTCCTCACTTCCTGTGGGCCTGAGTAGGCTCCTTCCAGGGCCCTGCCCAGGGTAAGGCTCACCTGGCACTTAAGGACACAATGTGGAAGGGCAATAGCTCCAACGAGCAGACAATTCACAGTCTTTAGCTCTTCTGGGGGCACAGGGGTGAGGATGTGGTACAGCCGCTTCTCCATGTCAATGCCTCTACAGATGCCTTCAAGACAGGGGCACAACACAAAAATCAGCCTTTCGGAAGACATCAAACATCCCCACCACTAGAAACTGCAGAATGGCTTTGAACATAAGTCTTGATTTCTGTCCTGTTTTGTTTTGAAAATACAAAGAGCTGGCCGGATGCAATGGCTCATGCCTGTGATCCCAGCACTTCGGGAGGCAGAGGCGGGTGGATTGCCTGAGCTCAGGAGTTTGAGACCAGCCCGGGCAACACAGTGAAACCCCATCTCTACTAAAAATAGAAAAAATTAGCTGGGCCTGGTGGTGTGCATCTGTAATCCCAGCTACCCAGGAGGCTGAAAAAAATAGAAAATACAAAGAGCCAAGAGACGGAGTCCTTGAAAATTCAGACTGTTTGTACGTTCCCTTTGTTCAGCTATGAGGAACCAAAATGGTCAACATGCAAAAGTCCTAAATTGGATCAGGCGCAGGGGCTACACCTGCAATCCCAGCACTTTGGGAGGCCGAGGCAGGTGGATCACCTGAGGTCAGGAGTTGGAGACCAGCCTGGCCAGCATGGTGAAACCCTGTCTCTACTAAAAATATAAAAATCAGCCGGGTGTGGTGACATGCACCTGTAAGCTCAGCTCCTTGAGTCTGGGACATAAGAATCACTTGAACCCAAGAGGTGGAGATTGCAGTGAGCCCAAATAGACAGAGAAAGACTTTGCCTCAAAAAAAAAAAAAAAAAAAAAGTCTTAGATTGTTTTAATTAAGGTGAGTACAGGCCAGGGAGAAAAATCCACCACTAAGGAACATACAGAAAATAACCTGACCTTTCCCCATCATTGTTCCTCCTTTATGGTGTGTACTAAATGACACAATTTCTGCGAATTTCTGCGGAAATGCTTTTGAGAAATACAGTGCTGTCCAAATCTGAAATGTGCATTTCAGGACTTTGCTAATTTGGGATTGCTTAGCTCCACACCCTTCCAAAACTACACATTTATTGACCTCAGGAAGCCAGGGCTGGTCAAGGAGGTGGGGACCCAATCCCGCCGGGCACTTCAAGCCCGGGTCCAGACCCCGGATCTAAGTGATGGGAAGTGCCAGGCTGTGGCACAGCTGCACCTGGGTTCAGGTCATTCCTGGCTATGGGGACAAAGTTTTTAAGAGTGGAAGTGGAAAGTTCAGTTAAGAAACTTTTCAGAGGCCGGGCGCGGTGGCTCACGCTTGTAATCCCAGCACTTTGGGAGGCCGAGACGGGTGGATCACGAGGTCAAGAGATCGAGACCAACCTGGTCAACATGGTGAAACCCCGTCTCTACTAAAAATACAAAAATTAGCTGGGCATGGTGGCGCACGCCTGTAGTCCCAGCTACTCGGGAGGCTGAAGCAGGAGAATTGCCTGAACCCAGGAGGCGGAGGTTGCGGTGAGCCGAGATCGCGCCATTGCACTCTAGCCTGGGTAACATGAGTGAAACTCCGTCTCAAAAAAAAAAAAAAAAAAAAAAAAAGAAACTTTTCAGCAGATGCTGGCAGCTGACTAGCAAGGTGAGAAGAGGTGGAGGAAGCTGACATATTTTGAAGACAGAAGCCACCAGATTGGCTAATGGGCTGAAAGTAGCAAATGAAGACCAGGGGATGCCAAGGAAGGGCCAGGGTCTGACCTGGATGTCAGAGTGAATCTTCCAATGGACCAAGCATGAGCCTGGGGCAAGGACGAGAGGGTACGGGCAGGAGGGCCCTCAGGGCCCCAGGTCTGCATGCCACTGAGACACCCTGGAGATACCTGCTGGCAAGGTGGTTTAGAACCCAGATGCACAGCTGTGTTAGAGGACGCTTCGGAAAGGGAACGCCTAAAGATGGATTCAGGGCCCAGCAGTGACTGAGGCAGCTTAGGGGAGAAGTGTCGAGCAAGAAGAGGGCCAAGCCAAGCCCAGGCCCTTAGGAAGGCTACATTTATAGGAGCTGGCAGACAAGCAGAGAAACAGCTGCTTCCTTCCTGGCCCCAACCCCTAAGGCATGCTGTATAGACAAGCGGGGAGTTCTCTGACCTCTACAGCTTAGACACAGCTACAAGGTCAAGACCAGTCATTTAAAGTTGAAGCAGTGGATCCTTTTCAGTAGGTTTATGGACAGGTATGTTTTACTCTCAGACTCACCAAACCCCAAGCAGTCACAGATTGGAGTCTGGGCAAGCAGGATGGGCCCATTCGTATATCCTCTGACGTCATCCTGGATCTTGCAAAGACCAACCCAGCTGGCATTCACAGCATATAGTATATGGGTAGGGGCGACATCAGAGTGGGTAATCCGGAGTGCAACTGCATTAAAAGGGACCTGGAAAATGAATTTGCATCTCACTCTATTCATTGCTACTTTGAAAGACTACTTTTAATTTCTACAATTAGATTAGCCAGCTATCTAAAGCTAGGTCTGCCAAAGTGCCTACCCAAAATTATCTCTAAAGAATAAAAATGGCCGGGGGCGGTGGCTCCCACCTATAATCCCAGCACTTTGGGAGGCTGAGGTGGGTGTATCACTTGAGGTCAGGAGTTCGAGACCAGCCTGGCCAATGTGGCAAAACCCTGCCTCTACTAAAAAAGCAAAAATTAGCCAGGCATGGTGGCACGTGCCTGTAATCCCAAGCTACTGAGGTGTGTGTGTGTGGTGGGAGGGCTGAGGCAGGAGGATTGCTTGAACCTGGGAGATGGAGGTTGCAGTGAGCCGAGATCATGCCACTGCCACTGCACTCCAGCCTGGGCAACAGAGCAGAGACACTGTCTCAAAAAAAAAAAAAAAAAGTAAAAACACTGGGTGAGGTGCGGTGGCTCACGCCTGTAATCCCAGCAATTTGGGAGACTGAGGTGGGTGGATCACGAGGTCAGGAGTTCGAGACCAGCCCAGCCAAAATGGTGAAATCACATCTCTACTAAAAACACAAAAAATTAGGGATGGTGATGTGTGCCTGTAATCCCAGCTACTTGGGAGACTAATTTTTATACTTCTAGTAGAAATGGGGTTTTGCCATGTTGGCCAGGCTGGTTTTGAACTCCTGGCCTTATGATCTGCCTACATCGGCCCCCCCAAACTGCTGGGATTACAGGCATAAGCCACTGCACCCGGTCTAATTTTTGTATTTTTAGTAGAGACCAGGTTTTGCATGTTGGCCAGGCTGGTCTTGAACTCTTGACCTCAAGTGATCTACTCACCTTGGCCTCCCAAAGTAATCCCAGCTACTTGGGAGGGAGTTAGCCGAGATCGTGCCACTCACCCCAGCCTGGGCAACAGAGTGAGATTTGGTCTCAAAAAACAAAACAAAACAAAACAATGAGTTTAAGATCAGCCTGGGCAAAGTGGCAAAACCTGGTCTCTACAAAAAATACCAAAATCAGCTAGGCGTGGTAGCACATGCCTGTAGTCCCAGCTACTCAGGAGGCTGAGGCTTGAACGCAGGAGGCAGAGGTTGCAGTGGGCCAAGATTGTGACACTGCACTCCAACCTGAGTGACAAGAGCAAGACTATGTCTCCAAAAAAAAAAAAAAAAAAAATTAGCTGGACATGGTGATGCACACCTGTAGTCCCAGCTACTTGGGAGGCTGAGGCAGAAGAATTGCTTGAACCCGGGAGGCAGAAGTTGCAGTGAGCTGAGATCCTACCACTGCACTCCAGCTTGAGTGATAGACCAAGACTCTATATAAAAAAATAATAATAATAATAAATAAATAAAAATACAAAAAATTAGCCACGTGTGGTGGCGCATGCCTTTAGTCCCAGCTACCTGAGAGGCTGAGGCACCAGAATTGAGAATCACTTGAACCCAGGAAGCGGAGGTTGCAGTGAGCCAAGACTGTGCCACTGCACTCCTACCCGGAGTGCAGGCTTCAGTCTCATCCTCAACTTTGACTACACCACTTCGGGCAAGCCGACTCCCAGCCCCTGGCCTTGGTTTTACCATCTGTAAAATGGGGATAGTAGCAGGACCACGGTGAGGAGTGGCGTTAACACAGGCTTAGAACAGGTACTGCACAGAGGGAGCATTTCAGAAGTGCTACCTGCCACTAGTTTTGTTTCTCCTTCATCCTCAATCCTAACGCTATCGTGCTTTCCTCCCAAAATAATTCTTAGCACCCTGGATTCCAAGTTGCAAATACTTTTGACAATAGTAATGTGAAATACTTTCCGAGTGAGTGCTCTCTGCCCGAGCGTGGTGGCTCAAGGCGGGTGGATCACCTGAGCAGCCTGACCAACATGAAGAAGCCCCGTCTCTACTAAAAATACAAAAATTAGCTGGGCGTGTTGGTGGTGCATGCCTGTAATCCCAGCTACTCGGGAGGCTGAGGCAGGAGAATCGCTTGAACCTAGGAGGCGGAGGTTACGGGAAGCTGAGATTGCCCCACTGCACTCCAGCCTGGGCAACAAGAGGAAAACTCCATCTCAAAAAAAAAAAAAAAAAAAGAGTGCTCTCTGGGTGCCAGGTTCCATTGTAAACGCTCCCTGAATCAATACAATCACTCTCTGAGGTCCAGTACCGCCCCTGTTCTACAGCTGAAAAGGGGAAGTGCTAGAGCAGCCACTGGGACCAGGTGGGACATTCAAACCCAGCACGAAGCAACACTCATCCTCACCACAGCACCATGGCTAAGAGCAGTCACTGGAGCTGGACTGCCTGGGCCTGCATGCCCCTTGTGCTGAGTCCCTCAGCCTCTCTGCATCTCAGTTTCCCCATCTGTAAAATGGGAGTAATGACAGAACCTAGATCACTGGGTCGTTCTGAGGATTACATGAGCGACAAGTTATGGCGTGGTCAGAAGAGTGACCGGCACACAGAAAACCGCAGACGGTGTGTGTTAACAAAATGAAGACAATTTCTTCTGTACATTCAGATTACCTGATAGGGTGTCAGGCTATGTAAAGGAGTAAGTGGTTTTGGCATCGGGGGCTGCAGCTGGCTAAGGTAACTCAAGACAGACAGTTCTCGAAGAATTTTGTTATGTAATTCTCTGAAAGGCAATTCAGAACAACGTAAGTAGGGATTTAACCCCCCACGGCCACCCCCCACAGCTGTCATCACACAGGCTGCATTTTCAGAGTACTGGGCTTTCTGAAGCTGCGCCCCCTTGACAGACCCTGACTGGAAAAACAGGAAGGTAAAGACTCTCCTTTAAGTCAAAGCTGCTGGCAGCCAGAGGTAGGGGCCACTTCTGGGTATTTCCACTGGGAATAACAGTTCAGAAAACAACTGGTTCTTCTTTGCAAATGCACAGCTGTGACAGAGACCTGAAGATTTTAGAGGACTCAAGCCTTAAAAGGAATTAAGAATGGCAGCCCTTTTTCAACGGAAGAAAACATAGTTCTTCAGCCAAATGAGGTTTAGTTACCTATTTCTTGGGGTTATTCTGAATGCAAAATCCGTATAAACGGATATCAGTTTATGTCCAGTGAACTCAACTGGAATCTCTTTTTCTTCATCAGCAAATTCCAAAGCGTCTGCAAATTCTGCAAGTCTGAAACCTCGATTTCTCATCTTGGTCTTGCTTTTTGTATACAAGCCGTCCATGTCATCTACATACTGCGGGGTAAGGTCTGGCATACATTTACTGTGGTCAGAGCTGAACTGAACCACGTGGCTGGGAGACAGCAATCGGATCAGATCAATGAGAAGCAGGAGCCCCTGGTCTGTGAGGAAGGAGACATTAGCACAGCTGATGCACTCAAGAACAGTGACACATTCGTATTACAAATGGGTGCATTTGTCCTAAGACAAAGAAACCGTCAATAAGATGGTTTTAAAACTGGGCTTTGGCTGGGCACAGCGGCTCATGTTTGTAATTCCAGCACTTTGGCAGGCCATGGTGGGCAGATCACTGGAGGCCAGAAGTTTGAGACCAGCCTGGCCAACATGGCAAAGCCCCATTTCTACTAAAACTACAAAAATTAGCCGGGCATAGTGGCACACGCCTGTGGTTCAGCTACTTGGGAGGCTGAGGTGGGAGGATTACTGGATCCCGGGAGGCGGAGCACACAGTGAGCCGGGATCACGCCACTGCACTCCAGCCTGGGTGACAGAGTGAGATCCTGACTCAATTTCAAAAAAAAAAAAAAGAACCAAAAAACTGGGCTTCAGTGTGGATGTCTGAAAGTCAACAGCTACTCACACTGCCTGTCCTTCCCTTGCAGATGTTCGGATGTGGCTTACCTGAAACCCATCCCATAGTGTTGATGATGAGAGGGGACTCTCTCTTGTAAGCGCTGAACACATATTTTATTACGTCGATATAATTCTCATAGTTGTTTTTACAAGAAGGTTTCCCATAATACACCATCTTCTGTGGTGTCCGCAGGTGAGTGAAAGGTGGTCCTAAGAAGACAAAGGTGTCATGAGATGAACACGGTAGGACGAGTAATCAATCCTGGCTAGTTAAACGGCGGGGAGCGTTTTATTTCAGCCATCATCACTAACAAAGAACGGTAGGAAATATGAGACCATCCTACCTACAGGGACACTCCAATTCCATTTTTGGAAATCTAAGCTTTCAACTTAACACAAAGAAATGCTCACTTTCACATAAATGGCCAATGCCAATTATGTCCTACAATGGCCATTCATTCAGCGAACACACAAATCCGCCAACTGCTGGGCTTGTTCCAGTGATTTGGGACATATCTGTAAACAAAACAGACAAACATCCCCACTCTTGCAGGGCTTCTATCCCTGTGAAAGGACAATGAATAACCACATGTCTCTTATAGGAATACAGCACTGACTCTGCCCTAGGCCTTTCATGTAGAGCCCCTAATTCTCCTAATGACCCTCAGGCAGATAGTAGTATCTTCATTTTTACAGATGAGGAAACTGGGAAAGAGATTCACCGGAACAAGGTCAGTGAGCCAGTAAATAGCAAGCTGGCTTGAACCCAGAGGCCTGGCTCCTGCGTCCACTCCTAATCATGACACATCTCCTCTGGTCAGGTACAGGGAGCTGAGCAGCTAATGAGGGCAGGCCAACACACTCAGCAAGCCAGTGACCAGGACTGTGTGTGACAGGGTCAGCAGGGAGATGGCCTGGGTCAATGTGACTGCAGCGAGGCCATCTGTGACAGAGATTCAACTGTCAGAGTGGCCACTACGATGGGAGCTGGAATTCAGCCAGCGAGGCTCCTTTCAAGGTTGGGGCCAGTAAGGGCAGGGATGTGGGGCAGCCAGCAGCAGAGGAAGTGGCCTGTATAGTCCAGAGAAGACTGAGCAAATATGCAAATGTAGTATAAATAATCACAGCCAGGTTTCTTACCACCAGAGAAAGAACTTACAAATGTGAAAGCAAGGAAGGCTAACCAGAATGACCCCTGGGGTGTTAAGCTGGAATCGGAAGGAGTCGTAAACTCATGACTTTATTTATTTAGTTTTTCTTTTTTATCTTTTATCTTTTTTTCTTTTTTTGAGATGGAGTCTCACTTTGTCGCCCAGGCTGGAGGGAGTAGCACAATCTCAGCTCACTGCAACCTCCCCCTCCTGGGTACAAGTGATTCTCATGCCTCAGCCTCCCAAGTAGCTTGGATTACAGGTGCCCACCACCACGCCTGGCTAATTTTTGGATTTTTTAGTAGGGATGTGGTTTTGCTGTGTTGGCCAGGCTGGTCTCTAAACTCCTGACCTCAAGTGATCCACCTGCCTTGGCCTCACACAGTGCTGGGATAACATGCATGAGCCACTGTGCCCAGCTTGATGATTTAAAGAAACAGATAGAAAAAGTATCCACAGAAGTACAGATCTATATGCATACACACACATATACATATAGTATGTGTGGGTTTAAATGTGCAATATATGCTAGCTCTGTGCACTGAGGGGATCTAGAAATAATGACACACCAGAGGCAACAAGCACACACAGTACTGAAACTCTGGTTTCAATCTCTCTGCATGAAAAGGAGCCAGGGCCCTCTGGAAAAATAGCTTATTCCAAGGCTATGGAAGAGAAAGTGAAAGATGACTCCAGAACTTCCTGTTTTCCCTGAAAGTTAAGACAGTGCTCAAAAAAGGATGGAGCCATGGAATGGCTAGGGTCAGCAGAGCTGGAGGGCCCAGGTCAAGGGCACAGGCGGGACCTAGGACGTAAGAGGAGCTGAGTAGGCAGAAGGGTCCTAGGAGGTGGCCGGCAGGGCAGAGAGGCTACTTATACACAGGTATATTGTACAGATAAATTAATGTATTCAGAATGAGAGCCAGCTTTCTTTCTTTATCTCTCTCTGTCTCTTTTTTTCTTCTTTCGACAGGATCGGCTGGGTGATGGTGGCTTACACCTATAATTCTAGCACTTCAGGAGGCCAAGGCAGGAGAATAACTTAATATTAGGAGTTCAAGACCAGCCTGGCCAACATGGTGAAACACCATCTCTGCTAAAAATATAAAAATTAGCCAGCATGGTAGTGTGTGCCTGTAATCCCAGCTACTCGGGAGGTTGAGGCAGAAGAACTGCTTGAACCCAGGAGGCAGAGGTCACAGTGAGCCAAGATCGTGCCACTGCACTCTAGCCTGGGCAACAGAGTGAGACTCTATCTAAAAAAAAAAAAAAAGTATGTATAAGTGTAATATATACTCATATGCTACATAATGACATTTTTTTCTTCAGACAGAGTCTCTCTGTTACCTGGGCTGGAGTGCAGTGGCATGATAGCTCACTGCAACCTCCACATGCAAGGTTCAAGCAATTGTCACGTCTCAACCTCCCAAGTAGCTGGGATTACAGGAGCACACCACCATGCTGGCTAATTTTTATATTTTTAGGAGAGACGGCGTTTCACCATGTAGGCCAGGCTGGTCTTGAACTCCTGACCTCAAGTGATCTGCCCTTTTCAGCCTCTAAAAGTGCTGGGATCACAGGCATGAGCCAACGTGCCTGGGCCACTACATTTTACTCAACAGACTGTATATACGATGGTAGTCCCCTGAGATTAAAAAAAAAAAATTATTTTTAATTATGGTGGCTATATAGTAGGTGTATATTCATGAGATTTTAATGGAGCTGAAAAACTCCTACCACCTAGTAACCTCAAGTATAACACATATAATTATATACCATACATCATACTTGACTGCTAATAAATGACTGTTACCAGTTTATGTATTTACTATGCTATATTTTTAAACATTATTTGAGTGCACTCCTTCTACATATAAAAAATACTGAACTGTAGGCCGGGCGCGGTGGCTCAAGCCTGTAATCCTAGCACTTTGGGAGGCCGAGGTGGGTGGATCACGAGGTCAAGAGATCGAGACCATCCTGGTCAACATGGTGAAACCCCGTCTCTACTAAAAATACAAAAAAAAAATTAGCTGGGCATGGTGGCATGTGCCTGTAATCCCAGCTACTCAGAAGGCTGAGGCAGGAGAATTGCCTGAACCCAGGAGGCGGAGGTTGCGGTGAGCCGAGATCATGCCATTGCACTCCAGCCTGGGTAACAAGAGCAAAACTCCATCTCAAAAAAAAAAAAAAAAAATACTGAATTGTAAAGTAGCCTCCAGCAGGTCCTTCAGGCATTATCCAGAAGGCATCACGATCACAGATGACAGCTCCGTGCATGCTGCTGCACCTGGAGATATTCTAATGGGACAGGACGTGGTGGGGGCAGGTACTGGAACTGAGCATCTTCACCCTGTGTAGGCTAAAGTGTGTGTTTATGTCTTAGTTTTATTTTATTTTATTTTAAGAATCCTCATCTGGATGTGTCTTAGTTTTTAAACCAAAAAGTTTTTTAAAATAACCAATATATCAGGCACAGTGGCTCACGCCTGTAATCCCAGCATTTTGGGGGGCTGAAGATGGTGGACTGCTTGAGCTTGGGAGTTTGAGACCAGCCTGGGCAACATGGGGAAACCCCGTCTCTACTAAAAAATACAAAAATTAGCCGGGCATAGTGGTACATGCCTGTTGTCCCAGCTACTCGGGAGGCAGAGTGGGCAGACTGCTCAAGCTTGGGAGTTGGAGATTGCAAGCCGAGATGGCACCACTTCACTCCAGCCTGGTGACACAGTAAGGCCCCACTCCAAAAAATGTAAGAAATAAAAGATAAAATCCATTAATTTTAAAATGGGAAAAAGCTTGCAGAAGAGATATACATTGCATTCATGATTTGTGCTTAAGTGTTACCACAGAACAGTAAAAAAGCTAAAAAATGCTTGGTGGAGTGCCTCACGCCCATAATCCCAGCACTCTGGGAGGCTGAGATGAAAGGATCACATGAGGTCAGGTATTTGAGACCAGCCTGGGCAACCCTCTCTATACAAAAAAATTAAAAATAAGCAGCTGGGTGTGGTGGTGAGTGCCTGTAGTTCTGGATACTGGGAAGGCTGAGGCAGGAGGTTAACCATCGAAGAAACAAATTTTAAAATAGGCCTCCCATAGTGGCTCACACCTGTAATCCCAGCACTTCTGGAGGCCAAGGAGGGTGGATCATCTGAGGTCAGGAGTTCGAGACCAGTGTGGCCAACATGGTGAGACCCAGTCTCTACCAAAAAAAAAAAATACAAGAAATTAGCTGGGACTACAGGCACACGCTGCCACGCCCAGATGCTTATTTTTTATTTCATTTTTTGTATAGAGAGGGTGAGGCACGAGAATCCCTCGAACCTGTGAGTTGGAGGTTGCAGTGAGCCAAGATTGTGCCACTGCACTCCAGCCTGGGTGACAGCAAGACTCTGTCTCAAAAAAACCAAAAAATTTAAAAAATAAATTTAGTACATCCTAAGTCTATAGTGTTTACAAGACTAGAGTAGGCCAAGTACGATGGCTCATGCCTGTAAGCCAAGCGCTCTGGGAAGCCAAGGCAAGAGGACTACTTGAGTCTAGGAGTTCAAGACAAGTGTAGGCAACATAGGGAGACCACATCTCTATAAACATTTAAAAATTAGCCAAGTGTGTTAGCACACCCATAGTCCCAGCTACTCAGGAGGCTGAGGCGGGAGAATAATGAGAGCCCAGGTCAAAGCTGCAGTGAGCTGTGTTCATGCCTCTACACTCCAACCTGGGCCACAGAGTGAGGTCCTGTCTCCAAAAAACACACAAATAAACAAACAAACAAAAGGTCGCCTGGGATTACTCACGCCTGCAATCCCAGCACTTTGGGAGGCCGAGGTGGGCAGATCACTGAGGCTGGGAGTTGGAGACCAGCCCAGGCAACATGGTGAAGCCCCATCTCTACCAAAAATACAAAAATCAGCTGGGTGGGGTGGCGTGCATCTGTAATCCCAGCTACTCGGAAGACTGAAGCACAAAAACTGCTTGAACCTGGGAGGCAGCTGCAGTGAGTGGAGGTTGTACGATTGTACTCCAGCCTGGGTGACACAGTGAGACTCTGTCACA